TTACTTTCTCCTTTCCTCTAGTAAAAAGGGGCTTCTTGGGGCCTTGGCCAGGTGCTTAGTTGCATAGTGTGTTGTCCTGATATATACCACAGTTGCAGGTTTGATCCCTGGTCAGGGTACATACAAGAATCAAACAACAGTGCGGTAATTTCTAGGGTGAGGAGGGGTATAGGGGACTAAATGGTAATGGGGAAAAAAGGAAAAAAATACAATAAAGATTATATTTTTGAAAAGAATCAACCAATAAGTGCATAAATAAGCGAAAACAAACCAATGTTTCTCTCTCTCTCCCCCCTTCCCCTTCCTCTCTCTCTAAAAAAAACACTTTAAAAGGGGGCGCTGCCTGGCTCATGCCTCCATCAACAGATGCTTGGAAATAATGCACGTGGCAGCTTTTCAAGGACTTTTCTCTTCCTCCCTCCAGAGAGAAAAACAAAAGGGTAAGGATGGCTCCAGGGACTGGATCCTAACGCAGTTTTGCTGGCATGTGCAGCTGTGTCTGGATTGCAGAAGTCACTGGAGGGGAACAATGTGCTCAGGGCCTGAAGGAAACGGCTTGGCTCCAGTCTGTCCGAAGTCATCTGGGGAGGAATTTTCTCATCGTTGCAGGGATTCTGCACCTCTTCACAGAGAGTGTGTGTGGGAAGAAGCATGGGGAAGTCACATATGAAAGGAGCAAAGAAGGCAAAGGTCAAAAGTAACTGACCTTTCTCTGGGCACACACCACTCTGTGGGCTCTGGCCTAGAGGTGAGGCTCGTGAATGGTTCGCCATTTATTTCTAAGAGCCTGAGGACTGGGTAAGTCGATGAGATTTCTGTTTTCACCCAGCAGACAAAGTGAAGGCTGGATTTATAAAAGCAGGTGGTTTCCGTTGATAAATGAATAAGTGAAAACAGTCCAGGGGAAGATTTTCAAATGATATTTATGTAGGAGACTCATTTTGGCTTCTCTCCAAGGGTGGAAAAATTTTGATTTATGTGCTTGAGTATTGCTGGCTCTATAGGCACACAAATAAATCCATCTATGCCTTTTCACTTATGTGTATGTATTATTGGTACTACTTGAAGAAGCTTTGGAAACTGTTTTCCTCCCTCGTTACTATGCCTGCCATAGATCCTGTGATCTCTGTGGAGATCTCATAGATCCTGTGATCTCTACAGAAGGGGCCCATAGAACAGTCTGCAATTGCACCAAGATCAGGTGAGGTGGGCAGCTGTAGTCACCTACCCAATATTCATTCCAGCTTCTCCTGGTAGATATTTCAGTTTACTTGTAGGTGCACATACATTCCCCCTTCTTTTTTTACAAAGTTAATGCTAGCGATTGAATTGCATCCCCTTAAAAAGATACTAAAATGTTAGCTCCCAATAGCTATGAATGTGACATTATTTGAAAATAGAGTCTCTGCAGGTGATCAAATTAAGATGAGGTCATCAGGGTGGGCGCTAATCCAATAAGACCGCGTCCATATAAACAGGGCAAATTTGGACACAGACACAGACACACATAAAGGAAAGACGGTGTGAAGATGTAGTGAGAAGACTGCCATCTACAAGCCAAGGAATGCCTGAGGCTACCAAAAACTAGAAGAGAGACAAGGAAGATTCTCCCTCACAGCCCCAGCCCTGCTAAAACTTTGGTTTCCGATTTCCGGTCTCCAGAACTGTGAGAAAAAAATTCTGTTGTTTAAGCCCCCCAGTTTGTGGTGCATTGTTACAGCAGGAAACTAACAGTTAGGTTGATGAAATCTTCTGATATCATCCTTTAATTTCTTCAATGAAGAAACTGAGTCTTAAAAAGTAACATGGCTGTCCTGGCCAGGTAGCTCAGTTGGTTAGAGCACTGTCCCCATACACCAAGACTGCAGGTTCGATTCCCGGTCAGGGCACATACAAGAATCAACCGATGAACGCATCAATGGGTGGGACAACAAAATAGGTGTTTCTTCCTCTCTCTCAAATCAATTAAAAAAAAAAACTAACATGGCTTAGACAGTTAAAGGGCCAGTCAGAGCCAGGGCTAGAGCCCTAAATTCCTAGGTCATCCCTCCATCCACTGTTACAGCTCGTCTGATTTCGATAAATCACAGCAGGCGCAAGAGGATAGAGATGATTTCCCTGTTGTCTAGTATATATGCTACTAGACTTTGAACAGTTCAAAGAAGACTTTGGCATGGTTGATTGAATCATTTGCCACAGGATTGAACTCAGTCTTCAGGTTCCTCCTTCCCCTTTCCAGGAGGTCAGGCTGATGGCACAAGGTTCAAAGCCAGGGCCCTCTAATTGCACCGTTGGTCTTTCTGGTTTAAACAGCCCCTTCTTAGCATAAACTCAGGTGTACTGCTAAGGCCTACTGTGAGTAACAAAAACACTAGCACTCAAGAAATCCCAAGGAGTTAGAGTCCTCCTCCCAGGAATCAGGGACAAAGTCCAGTCAAATTCTTTATCACATATCACTACCTAACATATTTGATATGAGATTAATGCATTTAAAATTATATGGTACATACTAGGCACTCAACAAATGATTACTTGTTACTAGTGTGAGATTAGTTATATTATAAACTATTGAGAAAAGATCATTGTATAGCACCTGTGTAATACCACATGTAAAAAGACAATGAAGCATTTGATGATGAGAGTACTCCAGCGTTTTATAAAGTCTCTGTTTACTAAAGTTGTTAGGTCCACATGGAATTGGTACCAGGCTCTCTCTGTATTTTGCAAAGGACCTGCTAGCAGATCTTTTAGTTGTGGAAGAGAGGCTAGTAAATGGGAAAAGGCCAATTTTGTTCATGATTATGTTGACACTAAAATACATTTTAATTAATTTTTTAATTCATAGGATTCAAACAGGCTTAAAATACATATGTATATCTTTCTTACCAATGGCCTTTTGCACCATTGAGGATGCTTGCAAAAACTGTTGCCTCATTTGCTTGATAAATTTCCTACCTAAACATACCATCATTTCAATAAATTTAAAATCTCCCAGACTGAATTCTTAATTCAGGAAGCCCATGATCACGTTGTTACAATTTTGAGTATTAGCTACATCATTAGTGATAGTTAATGATGTGGAAACTATTTTCTCCTATATAATACTATACACTGAGATGATGTAATTTTACCTGAGTGGTTCCAGTGCAGAAGAATAATGATTACAAGGAAGTTCTCCAAAATGCTATGGTGATTGTGTTAGAATGGTGGCATTAAGGATCATTTATTACCTTTTCCTGGGACTTGAGGAAAGTCCCGATTCAAAAAGGAGTTGGGATAGGAGGTAAGGGATGAGCATAGACCACAGCCTAGGACAGCTGGGCGGAGCCAAAGGAACACAGATTGGATGGGTGAACCCATGGACAGGAGCCAACCAGGAAGATTCCCCTAAAAGGTAAATAAATAAGAGCTCCTTAAGGGTTTTGTGTATAGTTATGACATTCATCAGACAAAAAGAATGAGGGGGGGAGGTATGGGAAGGTGGGAGAATGTCAACGAGCTGCTTGTCAGGACACAGAGGACACGTTTAGATCAAGAACTGGTCTGCTTAATGCAGAAGTTGTTTTCATTTCACTTCATGGGTTTGCTAGACAAGCCGACTCTGACATTTGCTATTTTCCTAATCTTTACTATTTGCATTTCCATTGCCTTTCAGTCTCTGATGGAAAATTAGCTCCAGTTACATTTTGTTAAATGAACTAGCTTCAGAGAACTCTATTAAGTCAGCTTCATAAATCAGCTTCTCTGTGTCTTAATCATTTATTCTGCTCTCTCCTGAATTCTCTCCCACTTATCTCTTTCTGGCATGGAGTTATCTACGGCAGAACACAGTGTCCTTGGTCACAGCACCCACCATTCCTAAATGTCCTTGCTACTATCCTCCCTCAGTCCTTTCTCTTAATCTCTCCTTTCCAAAGTCTTCATTTAGCGGAAGGTGTTTCAGATGCCATTTTGTTCTCAACTCTGCCTCCAGACTAAACCCTGGACCAAAAAACGTTACCAAGGTACTTCCTGTGCAGGTCTCTGTCTTTGTCTATACTCTTGGAAAACCTCTTTTTCTTTTTTAAAGATTTTATTTATTTTTAGAGAGAGAAGGGAGGGAGAAAGAGATGGAAAGAAATATTGACTGGTCGTCTCTCGCACGCCCCCAATTGGGGACGTGGCCAGAAATGCAGGCATGTGCCCTGCCTGGGAATCACACTGGTGACCTTTCAGTTCACAGGCGAGTGCTCAGTCCACAGAGCCACACCAGCCAGGCTTCTTGGCAAACTTCTTCAGGCAAGAGCAACATATGGTGCATTCCTGAAACAAGAAACCCCTATAAAACATGCTATGAAACTGAGGCTCTCAAAAAATCTGGGGGCTGAAATTAGGTGTTAATGGTGAGAAAACTGTTAAGAGGGACTGGAGGCCAAACTTAGACAGAATTGTGAAGCTGGCAAAATCTACCTGCGGACCTACCAGTCTCCTTTCAGCCCTCATCACCCCTTTCCAAGTTTTCAACATCCACACACTTTTCCTGCATGTCGGGTCTCCCTTCACAGGCCTGCCCAACCTGGACAGGCAGCAAGATTTTGGATCTAATTTTTTATGCTTATGCTCATTTGAATTTATATTGTTATTTCATAGTCAATTTTAAAAAAGGGCAAAAGACTTGAATAGATCCTTCTCTGAAGAAGATAGAGGGATGGCAAATAAGTATATGAAAAAACAACCAACAGCCTTGGCCATTCGGGAGATACAAGCTAAACCCACAATGAGATGCTATGGCACATTTACCAGAATAGTGATTTAAATTGCTATTTAAATTATTTAAAATAAAAAAGATTGTGCTAAGTATTGGTGAGAATGTAAAGCAATTGGAAGTCCTATGCCCTGCTGGAGGGGTTGAAAAACGTTACAGCCACTTTGGAAAACAGTGTTGACAGTTTCTTAAAAAGGTAATGTACACGGAGACAATTGTACTTGAACAACAATTTTTTTAAAAAGGTAATGTGCAGATCCTTCTGTAGTTCTTAAGTGTAATAATTGGGTGTTCATGCTCTTGTGTGAGATGTGTCTCCCTCAAACCTTGTAACGACATCGGCACTTTACCCGTTTGATATTAAAAAGAAATAAAAATAATGTACGTGTGTACACATATCACAGAACCCGGCCATTCCACTTGTAGATATGTACTGAAGAGAAACAAAAACTTTTGTCCACACAAAGGTTCCTAGGAGCTTCATTTGCAATAGCCCCAAAGTATAAATAATCTCTATTGGTCTACTCAGGTTGCCATAACAAAACACTGTAGACTACATGTCTGAAACAACAGAAGTTCATTGTCTCACAATTTTTGGAGAGGTCCGAGATCAAGTTTCTAGCAGGGTTCAGCTTCTGGTAAGGGTTCTCTTCCTGGCTTGCAGATGGCGGCTGTGTCCTTTCCTCTGTGCTGGGCGTGGGGGTAGAGGGGCAGAGAGAGGGCATTCGAGTGAGTGCATGAGTTCCCTGGGGTTTCTTTTATAAGGACACTACTTCTATCTGATTAGGGACCCACCTTATGATTTCATTTCATCTTTTTTTAAGGACTTTATTTATTTATTTTTAGAAAGAGAGGAAAGGAAGGAAGAAGGGAAGGAGAGAAACACTGATGTGAGAGAAAGACATCTACTGGCTGCCTCTCATTCGTGCCCCAGTCCGGGGACCTGGCCTACAACCCAGGCATGTGCCCTGACCGGGAATCGAACAAGCAACCTTTTACTTTATGGGATGATGCCCAATCAACCAAGCCACACCGGTCAGGGCTACTTTATCTTAATTACCTCCTAAAGACTCTATTCCCAAATACAGTCACGTTGGGGGTAAGGGCTTCAACACATGAATTTTCATGGGGGAAGACATCAGTACACAGCATGACCCCAATGTCCATCAATAGGAAAATAGATAATTCTGGTATATTGGTACAGCAGTATGCTACTCAGCAATTAAAAGGAATAAACTATTGCTGTATTCAACACTAGTGATAAAACTCAATCTGGAAAGTGAAAGAAACCAGACAAAAAAAGAGTGCATACTTGGTAATCCCGTTTATAGAAAATTTTAGAAATGTAAAGTCATCCACAGCAACAAGAAAGCAGATTAGCAATGGCCTGGAGATGGAGAAAGGGGAGAAGGTCAGATGGGAGGGATTACGAAGCGGCACAAGAAAACTTATGGGACTGGCGTATGTGTTCATGATCTTGATTGTACTGGTGCTTCCATAGGTAATAGCTGCAACATCTTATCATCTACTATAAATATGCACAGCTTGTTGTATCATTTATGCCTCAATGAAGCTGTAAAATAATTTGCATTCAATTGGCCTCCCCCTGGACAGGACAAATTCATTTTTAGCAATGTTGACTTCTCTTAGTTATCTTGTGCTGAGCCATTTCTGGCTCTTTCCTCACTTGCTGGCCTTGTTGGAGCCAATTTTTGTTGTTGTTCTGCCAGAAATCAAGAGGTCTGCCTATAAAGACAAACAAGAATCAAGGCTAGAAAAGTATTTAATTTATTTTATTTTTATTTATTTATTCTACTTGAAATATTTTATTCTTAGAGGGGAAGGGATGGAGAAAGAGAGGGGGGGAAACATCAATGTGTTGGTTACCTCTCACACGCCCCCTACTGGGGACCTGGCCTGCAACCCAGGCATGTGCCCCAACTGGGAATTGAACAGGCAGCCCTTTGGTTCAAAGGCCAGCGCTCAATCCACTGAGCCACACCAGCCGGGTCGAAAAGTTTTTCCTTTTAAAACACATTTTGAAATCTGAAGAAAATTTCTAAATTCATTTATGTGGTTTTACTTATTACTCTATAGTAACTGTCTTTGGAGAAATGATGTCAGCCTGGAGATGCCAGCCTGTCACCTGAGAAATCATTGCCCATGAATGTATGATGTCTGACCTGTGCACCTGCGCATGGATGCCCAGGCAGGAATCACCTAATGCACCCACACAATGGTTAATAGTCTGCAACTGCAATTATAGTTTCAGCATGTATTTGGGAAAATATCCCAGGAGTCTGGGTATCATCCAGGGGCTAGGCTGTCTCCAAGCTTCCGCACTCCAGTGTACATGTTTCTTGCCACTATCCCTCTAGGCAGCAGGGACTAGTAGATTCTGGCCAATTCCTGGCTGTGACAATAATAGCCCTTGTGTGTGGACTGGTAAAAAAGAGCTACCTCTCACTATGAGAAGCACGGTCACAATATTTTGCATCTCCTGCTATCAAAAGGTGCAGTCTATTTCCCCACTTCTTGAATTTGAGCTGGCCTTGCAACCTGCTCTGACCAGCAGGATGTGGCAAAAGTGACATTGTGCAAGTTCTAGAACCAAGGCCTAAGAGCACCTGCATCTCCCTGGTGGCACTCTTGGCACCCTCCTGCAGCCAGAGAAGCCTGTGCTAGACTACTGAATGACATCAGCTGCAGAGAAGCTGACAGTAAGCATCAGGGCCCCAGTCCTGCAAGTGAGGCCATTAGTATCAGCCTGCTCTAGTCAACCCATCAGAAGATTGCAGGCTCACGAGGGACCCCAGTGAGATGTGAAGAATAGTTCCAACTGCAGAATCACGCACCAACAGATGGTTATTGTTGTTAAGTGGCTACGTTTTGGGGTGGCTTGTTATGCAGTGATAGGTATCTGCGATGCTCACAGAACCACCAGCCATGCATGAAATGTAAGGCCAGGGAGCTCCTCAGAACCAGTGTCCAGTGTTTTACTGCCTCGTGGCATAACAGTGGGCAAGTCATTCATCATCTCCACCTTGGTTATTTTGCTTGTCAAATGGAGACAGCATCCTGTATTTCAGATGGTGTGTTGAAAAAAATTATTCTTGCAGGATTTTTCTATATGCAGTTGTGGGGGAGTGAAAGCCTTAGCTACATATTTAGAAAGTGGATTTATTTGGATAGTTTTGGCTAATAAGATTTCTCTCTTGAGACTGTCCTTAAATAGACTTAATGTCAGGCTGTTCTGGTTTTACTAGCAAATAGTCTTCAGACTGATTACTGCCTCTTCCTTCTGGTCTACCCCTACCCCCCTTCTTCTATCCCCTCCCCATGCCCTTTCTGTCATCTTTGGGGCAGGGGCCCTGGGATGGATGTTGCAGCCTTGTATACCTTTTATCTGTTTCATTTAGGAAAGCCTGTTATCTTATTCCTACATCTCTTGCTTCTGGCACAGGGACCTATATGTAAAAGGTGCTTGTTATATGTTATGTGATGATACTATCAAACTCCCAATGCTTACATAGAAGGACTTAAGGGAGGTAAAAATTAATTAAAGTTTCATTGAAGAGAATAGCTGACCTCTAAAAGAGGTACCTGATGAATCCTGGGTTGGGTACAGCAAAGGATGTTGGGGAAGATTGTTTTTCAAGACTTGTCCGAGTTGGCTCTTTGGTTATGCAAAAATAAAGCCAATGGTGGTCCATTGTCCTGAAGGAAGGAAGCTAATAAGGCGAGTTTCAGGGCTAAGGCTTGGTCTAATCCCAGGTATGTGGTTGACTGTAGAAGAGATGTTGAAGAAATACCAAAGCCATAGGTGGCTTTGGGGGCCAAGGACTATATTGGAATGAAAGGGATCTAATACTCAGACTACTTCTGTCTTAGGGTTAACCTTATTCTACACCTCTGATGCCTGAAATGGCCCCATCTGAGGTCAGCAGGCAGGAAGGGGCACCAAGGTTCCCCAAGGGGCAGCTTAACTTGACCGTGAGGGAAGCCTGCAATGGCAATTTGGACTCAACACCAGCCCTGCAACTGTGCTACTGGAGAGACTGGTATGTGCCTACTTGTCTAAAGCTGGGAACCAGTCCTGACCTAGTCGCCAAGCACTTTGATGAGCTTTGGAAGCAACTGTGTGAATGTGAGAAACACACAGATGAAACTTTAAGAGCCCAGGCCATTAGAGGTGTGGTAAGACCACCATCACACCCAGGAGGCATGGAACAGTGGAAAGAACTGTAATCCGGTATTAAGAAGGCCTGAGTTTTGGTCCTAGAGCTGTTATTGCTGATTATTATCGAGTTATGGGGTGTTAGTGTGCCATTTCCTTTCTGTGCACCTTAGTTTCCTTGTTTGTAAAATGAGGGGTTGGGTTAATGGCCCATTACTTGGGGTTCTGGGAGTGTTACTTCGGAAGGCAATCTTTATGAGATGAGGAATGCATTTTCATGAGAAATCTGTGTTGATTAAAAAGAATATGTAATGTCCATCAAGCACGTTTATGACAAAAATTACAGGCCTGCTTCCTTAAGAACCACTTATGTCCTACTTTGGAATCTGGGTCCTGATCCCTTTTTCTTCGAAAATGAGCCATAGGTGGTTTGGCAGAAGAGAAAACAGGTGTGGAAGGAGCTAACCGGGGCTTCGGGACAATGGCAGACTTGCCTTCCTGAAATAAGCTTTAGCCTTCGGTCAAATGACTTGTGCAGATTAAAAGAAAAAAACCCTCGTGGTAAATATAGATTCATCAAAGTGTCTTAAAAATAGGATCTAGGCTTGGACTATAGGCTCGGGCGGGGTGCACAGTGCAACTTCACCAGGGCACCTGGGGATCTTCTGTAAGTGCTACTGCTGTGAGATGACCTTCTATATTTTTATCTCAGCTCAAAATTCAGATTCTCCAGAAGGACATTCTGATCATCCAGCTGAGGTTTTATGTCCACCATGGGATCAGGGGAAGGGGGCCTATGGTTAACAGCCTCATCAGAGGAACATGGAATAGGGTGGGGCAGCCCCCCCCCAAAAGTGTGTATGGGTGTGGTAGGAGAGGGGTCTAGTTTATGCTACCAGAAGGGGCAGAGGTGACGAGCAGATAAATGTCATAATGTCTAAGGCTCCGGAACTGCTCAGGGATAACTACAGGTGACAGCAAGTTCATGTATTAACAAAGTGCTCCCAGGGCACAACTGTGTGGTTTCTGGAGCTTTCAGGGCCTGCCGGTTAGAAGGCTGACACCCAGTGGCTGGTTTGTATCATAGACAGAGCAGTCAGACTTTTTTTCCGTCTGATGAACCTTGTAAATATTGACATTCAATAGCAGTCATTGACTGACTGACTGACTGAATGAATGAATG